GGGGTTAAATAAATGAAAAATCTTTTTTTTTTCTTCAGTTGGTTCTTGATTTATGATAAATTAGCTCATTTCTATTTAATTTGTTGACAGATTTTACAAAGCGAAATTTCTTGGTTTCAGCATGATTCGCTTAATTAATTACAAATGAGCCGTAATTACGATAATGTGAATATGCTTTTACGAGCATTGGAAAATTTTAGGGCAAACTGTGGTTTTAGAGAAAAACGGCTGACAATTTTTTTTCAAATCTCTCTAGTTTGTTCAAAAATCAAATTTCTTCAATTCGGTTTTATTGATCGTAGAAGTGCTTTTGAAGCTCTATATTTGCATACTCACCCTGCATGAATTGAAATAGAATCATCCATATGTATGTTGTTCCACCAAAAAAAAAAAACCTTTATTTTCTATCAAGAAGTATTTTTCCGACTTCCAGGGAGCTGTAGATGGCATAAGCTGTGTTCTCATTATTAGAGTCTATAAGCTTCGAAGCAGTTTTCGATCCTATCTAGGCCAAATTTTCCTGCAAATCACACGTGTCGCATCTAGAATCGCTCACCTCCTCCACTCACTATGCCATTAAGTTCGGAATTATTGCTACCAGGTGGAGTGCAATAACTTTTCACCTACTTCCGGGAAACCTCCTAAGAGAAATTTTATGCAAAACCTAAGTTTGAATACACAGCACCGTGCTGTCCGGTAAAAAATTTAGATTTGTGCAGAATAAAAGCGTGTCTCGGCTCCCATTGAGATGAGTCTTTTCAAAGCGTCATTTGAAGGTGATATTGGATGAAGATTGGTCGCTTCAATAAGGTCAGACCGCCGTACCTTCATATCGGATAACTGGTTTAATAACCGCTGTGTAAATCCAGCGGCAAATTCTTGGCTTCCTCCTTCCAGCTCAGTTTCTGATCTAGGATAATATCTCAGAATTAATTTTTGTTTTAGGCTTGTCTATCTCCGGTGGAGTGTTCGATTTTTAGGACGTGTCAAAAAGTCGTTGATGCGTTTATCGACATGTTAATCTATATTATTATCAATATTTTAATCGATATTATTATCAATACGTTTATTATTTATCGATGTTACTTTTGATTTTTTTTTATATCTCTGTCTATATCCATATGTATTTACAGACACATATATTTACAGATATGTTACTTGAATAATATTTCGACGGTTTTTCTAGTTTTTAAGAGCCTTGGAGAGGTATTCTAACCTAGCACGTGGTTTAACTTCTAAGGTATAAAATAACTTACCGGAAAATCTCCTGGTCCTTTTAGTTCCAAAACCAAAACGTGATTAAAATTTTTTTTTACTTTGAAGGTCTTTGGAGAACTTTGTCAGCACTTGGAATATATTCGATATATTCCAGTTTGTCGATTAATAAACATTGATAGTTCGATGAATCTCAAAAACACTAAAATCCGATAACCCAACTTATTTCGATAACTGCACGTTTCGATGGCTCGATAAGTTTCGATAACTCAAAAATGTATACATCTTGATATAAATCGATAATTCGATAAACTTTGGATGCCTCTATAAATTTCAATAGTTCGGTTAATTTTGGTAGCTCCATATTTTTGGAGAGCTATTGATAAATTTCAATAACTCGTTAAACTTTGGTAACTTGATAAAATCCGATAAGCAGTGATATCTCAATAAGCCTATATAACCTTGAAATTTCGGAAACTAGTTGTTTTTGATAATTGCAAAAACTTCGAATCGATAAATCAACAAATCTCCAATTACTCAATAAATTGAAAGAACTCGATGCATTATGATAACTAGATAAATTTTGTTAACTCTATAAATAATGATAATTCAATAAATATCAATAACTTGATAAATTTTGTTAACTTGACAAATTTCCACAATCTAATATGTACATTTTTTAGCTCGACAACTATGTTTCTATGTCTAGACATTTCTACAACTCAATAAACATTGATCAATATGAATAATTCGACACGTTCCATAACTCAATAAACATGGATAACTCGATACATTTCCATAACTATAAATTTCGATGGTTCGATAAATAACTTTCGATAAATAAATTTTGTATGACTTTTCTTACCCTTTCAGTTACCCTAATTCTTATGTATTTCTTATCCTTTTCATTTTCATCTTTATCTTCAACTTTGCCTTCACTTTTTTTGTCTTAATCGTTTTCATCATTTGTAAAGTTTAATTTCAAATATGAAGTAAAACAAAGTGCGAAAACAACTAAAACTTTACAGGTTGCAACAACAACTATACACAAATACAGAGATCTTTAAACGACGAGTTTGGACGTAATTATCCACCAATTTTGAAACCATAAAAACTCTCCTCATCTACAGAAAAATAACTTTCCAATGGTGGTGGTGGTGTGAAATCGGTTCGGTAGAACCGCCAAACGAAGGGGGATTTAGATTTAAGAAGTTAAGATCGCTATGTGATTTGGACTCACGTGCGTTACTCTATTTTCCATTCTATTTTCTGTCTTCATATAAAACTACCTAATGCGTGCGAATCGTGTAAACTTGCATTATAAAGTAAGTAAATAGAAAAAATACAAAAGCCGTAGGCTTATACCCAGAACCCATCTTTACGGTATAAAGCAATCACTTTCTATTTTGCACTATCAATGCAATCTACTTAACTGCTGAGGCTCAATAAATTCAGGTGTTAAGTACAAAAACAACTACGTATAACTGCAGCAGTAAAAGCTTCAGTGAAATCAGCGTCGACAATCCCTGCAGCCAGGGGCGCATACAGAATATTTTTATTTTTCAAAGTTAAAGTTTCAACTAAGTCACAGCTCTAGTATGGCCTTATAACAATAAGCATTACAATGATCGCTGGAATGAGCTTTATGAAATTTACAAACTATCAAAAGGAAAGTGATGAAGAGCAGGGTACAGAACTTGCAACTTGATAGTAACTAGATAGCCACAAGAACTCAATCGCTTCGAAAAAATGTATGCAAAATATTTTATTAGATGCCTACGTCACTTAAAGTTTTTAATTTAATTTTACGCTATGCGTTTTAAAAATTGTCGGGGAGTTTCAACCCTAAAGCCAAACTTCCTCCCCCTTGTATGCGCCCATAACTGCAGCTAAAAGGACAACTGCAATGACCTGCAAATGCAACCGGCATTAGGTCATTTGTCTAAGAGTATTTGTAGAAATTCATGTGCATGAATACACAACAGATATGTACAACGGTAAATGTGTTTAACAAATCAAGATATGGATGTATTTTGCTTAACTGCATTTCACTGGGTCAAAGTGGCATATGCTTTTACTGGTATCAATATGTTTTTTCACATATACATACGTACGCTCACCTTCAACCTTCTCCGCTACCAGCAGAGACCTACGAGGCCGGGCGTTGGCTGCAGACATATTTACTACTGCATACAGCTACATATATGCAGCTGACTTTATTTTCATGCATAATTCAAGAAAGTGCTGCAGCTTTCACTTAACGAAATGCCATTGCAATCATTACAAGCAAAACAATAACAATCAATGCGTTGCGTTTGTAAAATGTACTAGGATGTTATGCATATGTACTAGGGATGTTAATCCCGGGATCCCGGCCTTTGTTAGGTGCCGAAAATCCCGGGATTTTCGGGATTTGTAATTTGCGCTGATGGCAATAATAGAAACTCCCTTTCTTGACCAGTATTGGCTATATTTATTTTTCTTTATTTAGTAATTAATATTTTTTTATAAATGTTTAATACATTATACATACAACAACCTGCGATTGTCAATTTTACACAAAAAAATCAATATATTCGCGAAACCATGGGCCAAATATAGTAAAATTGCGTTTTTAGTTTAGTTTTAGTAGTTAGTCAGTAATTCAAAAATTATTTAAAAAATTCAGTGAAATGTGCTTAGAGAATAAGTATGGATATCAAATTAAAGAGGAAATACTTTAGAATTTAAACTGATTTAAGCTTTTGGTGCAGAAGGACTGGTAAGTATTGAAAATGTCCTTTTAAAATTTATCCTTGAAATTTCGCAATATTTGTTTTTGAAAAAATTATATGTTAAGAACTTATATAAACTCAATAACATCCTCAAATCTCACCCTTCTAACTTTATCAGCTTAAAAAATTACCTATTCTTCCTTGTGAATCCAAAAAAATTTAGTTTTCTTAAATTATAAAGAAATTTCCTCTTTCATTTGGTACCCATTTTTTTATTCTACATTGCATTGACTTTTTGAAATGATTTTTGGAATTAATCATATCTTTGAAATTACAAAGTCCTTTAAAATAAATCCTGACGTCAGAGAAAAAAAAAAATAAAAACGCCACTTTAAATAAAAAAGTAGGTTTCAAACACATTAATTTATTATTTATTTTATGGTAGGAGAGATAGAAGCAATTTTTTCGATTTAAGTTGTTGAAAAGTAATGAATATCTAAATCCCGGGATCGTAAAAACCGAAAAAATTAACATCCCTATATGTACACATTTATTTCCAGGAAACATTGATTACAACGATTTTATTGGAATCTCTGTGGCAATGCGTATGAAGCAAGCAATAAAAATGAAATAATAATTAAAAATACTTGCATGAATTAACTCTCTGCAAATTCCAAAACATCAATTAGTTCAACACAAAAATTGCTTAAAAACTGCGTTGGCATGGTTCTCTTCTTACTTACAGAGTGATTCATCGTAAAGATCGTTGCTGTTCTGATTTCTTAGTTTCAATTACGAAAATAGTAGCGTGTCGTAAAATTTCTTAAACGTTCAATGCTATTTAGCAGCCATATCTTCCTACATTTATTATATTGCAGCAGTCAAGCATGCAACATTTGCAACTTATTTGTATCGAATTGTTATAACTTTCGCTGTGTATCGGGTGTGTGTGTGTGTGTGTTAGTGCGCTTGCCATGTTTGAGTTATTGTTTAATTTCTGCTATGCATCCTGTTTGCACTGAAGTTGGTATTCAATTTAATTTCTTGCCATTCTTCTTTCACAAATTGCAGCACCGTCACCAGCGACAGAGACCCCAGCTGATACAGCGCAACGTTGTAATACGGACGAGTGTCAATTGCCATATTGCTTCTGCTCGAAGGATGGCACACAAATTCCAGGTGGTCTAGAGGCGGAAAAGGTAAGTGAAATAAATAAAAGTAGACAAGATATAGCAGAGATATGCAACTAAAAAATATGTGCTGACTAAATATATTAAGAGAGATGTATGTATGTAGATGTCGGATAATGCCAACTGTGCAGCATATTCATATTAACAACTTGACAGCGTTTACGCCAACAGGTGAAATATGGCAGCTTGAAAAATAGAAAAAGAGAAAAGGGTTGAACGTCCTCAAAATTTTATTTCCTGTCCTGAACCAAACGATTCAATTTGATTTTATTTTTCGTTTCGAGCTTTTGTAGTGAGTTCAACATATTGTCCATAAGGGATGTTTATAGAAAGCGCTGATATTCAAAATAGTCTGAAGGAAATCTAAAAGTCAAAAGATTGCTTTTTTACTTCCGGCTTTCAAAATTGATTTGGTTTCCTTTCATTTAGTTTATGAATATTATGCAATTCAGTAAAGTAATGTCCGCTCGAAAATGCACAAAAACAAATTTAAGCCATATTTGTATCAAGGTGAAATTAAAAGCATGCGCTCAGCTTTCAAAAGTAATAAAAAATTAAATAAAAAATGTTATTAAAAACAAATTAATTGTTTTTGATACTCTTTTTATAATGTTATGGCCTTTGTGAATTAAGGTAACGATATGTAAGTCGTTATGCAATTAAATTTCTCACGCCCTACACCGTGACCTTCAGTTTATCCCACCGTGTAATCATGAACTGAAATTATGTTTTAAAGACTTTTCAAAACAGAAATTGGGAGCAGATATTCTTAAACTCTTACTCATTCGAACGAATATTATATTTCTTTACACTGTTCGGCAGTTGGCTGGGGAATTGAGGAAACCAAGTTTTTCTTAAAGTTTGTAGTGTATATAGAAAAGTAACTTCTAGGCTTTCCCAGGTTGGCGATTTTAAGCGTTTACATATTTTAAATTTGAAGTTGGTGGTCGTATAAAGCATTTAAACAATTAAACGTGATTAAAGAGCAAATATTTTTACCGTCAAAAGAAAAAAGTTAAAATGTCGTACAGTGTTATTTTTTATACTAGCGCCCAGCGGTTGAACCGCTAAAATTAAGGAGAGTTCGGTGAAGTGAATTGAAGCGAAGTGGGTTCAGGTGAGAGGAGATTTGACAAGTTAAGGTGAATTGAGCTGCGGTGAAGTGATTTGAAATGAGCTCTGATGAGTTGAGGTGAATTGCGTTGAACAATATAACATAACAAAACATAACAAAGCATATTATGCTATGCATAATATAACACATAACATAACATCACATAACGTAACATAACATATCATACTATAGCAAAACAAAGCATAATATAACAAAACGCACATAATATAACATAACATTACGTAGCATAACACTACATAACATAACATAATAAAACACAACATTACATAACATATCTTAACATAACATAACAAAGCATACAAAATATGACATAACATAACATTATACAACATATCGTAACATAACATAACATAACATAGCATAACACAACATATCGTAATATAACATAACATACCATAACACAACATACCGTAACATAACATAACATAACATAGCATAACACAACATATCGTAACATAACATAACACAACATAATCTTTATCTTCATCTGTATATTCATCCATACAATTTTCATTATATTCTTCTTCAAATTTACCTTCCTCTTTGTCTTTACATTTAGGTTTCTTTGCTTTTATTTTAATCTTTGCCTTTATCCATATCTTCATCTACATATGCAACCTTACCATCGTCCTTGCATTACTCTTAATTTAAATCTTTTGCTTACGCAGCTAAGCACTTTTCATTAACTCAGTACCAATATTAAAGCATACATTTAGGAGGCATTTGCACCCCAACCATGTACTTGCACGGTATTCATATTGGTGTTACTTTTGAATTGATTCTTGCGCTTTATTTTTAACTAATTTCAATTGCTCTCTGCACATCAGCATCAAAATACCTTTCTAGTGATACATACAGTATTGGCCAATACAATAGCACCCCGATTTCAAAGTCATATTGTTTGCCACTCATGTTTATTTATTTATTTTTAAGAATTTTCAATTAAAATACAGTTCATTCTCTCACAAAACTCACATAAACTCAAGTTTAAAACTTTTTAAAAGACCGCAAAAAAGTGCAACAAATTTTCACCCAAATTTCAAACTTTTTTCTCAGAAGCGGTAGAATTTTTTTGAATACACAGTTTTATAGCCCATTCAATTTTAGTCTAATAATGTGCAAGTTTCAAGTGGCTAAAAACTACCGTTGATTTTTTAGAATTTTTTTCGCCGAGGATGTTGCGGGTTTCTGCCATATAAAAATAAATTGTGTTTAGTCGTTATATGGAAGCAAATGAGACAAAAAAAAATTCTAAAAAATCAACGGTAATCTTTAGCGACTTGAAACTTGCACATTATTGACTAAAATTGAATGCGCTATAAAACTGTGTACTCAAAAAAATTCTAGAGCTTCTGATAAAAAAGTTTGAAATTTAAGGGAAAGTTTGTTGCGCTTTTTTGCGGTCTTTTAAAAAGTATAAAACATGGGTTTATATGGGTTATGTTAGAGAATGATCTGTATTTTAATTGAAAATTCTTAAAAACAAATAACTAAACATAAGTGGCAAACAATATCGCTTTGAAAGGGGGGGCTATAGATATGTCCAATACTGTATATAATACATATACACAAGATATATATACAAGATATGACATCTAACTTTATCAACACTCCCTTACATTTGCATGTTGTGTTCTTCCCTATTTTTACTGAAGCCTGATCCAAGTGTGTTTTGTTGAAAATGTTTTAAAATCTGATTTTAAATCATACTTTGCTTTTTGTCAAAGCGTAATCTAACAAACGCCTGTAACTATGTATTTTGAACAAACACAAATATATGTACATATCTAAATATAAACCCATTTAAACCCTCAAATTTTCCTTCGTTGAAGCTACAAGCTTTACTTTCATTAAAATTATGGTGAACACTTTTAAAAATCAATCTTGTTTTTCACCCTTAGCAATTATGAAACCGAAGCAATTAAATTTATTGCCCCATGTACTTTATCTATCCCAGCGATTAAGTAGTTATGTATCTTTATTGCTTTTAATATATTACTTAATTATTCTTGACAAAAACCTATAATCATAACTCAATTATACTAAGGCACATGCTTACATGCATGAACGTAAATATGTATGTATGTTTGCATGCACTGTGTGGAAGTTGTAAAGATAAATAGCCGGCAGCATAGATTTTCAAAGATACTGACGGATGTGTTCGATGTAGGTATAACCTTAATCGCTTATTTGCGGATAATTGAGTTATAATTAATTAGCTGCATCTAAAGGCAGCCACCACATGAACAACTTTGCTTCGGTTAATATATCAACACAACAACAACAAAACCCCAATGTACATATGTAAGCAGCGCAATGTAGTTGCGACCTACACGGCGTATGAGTAATGTTCTCATAACTTCACGACGACTGAATGTTATTTGCGTGTGTGTGGGTGGCTAAACGATGACAGATGTCTGTGCTAATACATGCTACCCACCATATAATTTGTTATGTATGTACATATGGATGAATATGTGTGTGTGTTCGTGTGTGCGTGAGCCTCATCTTGGCATAATTATTGCTACCGCGCTGTATACTCGTATGTACGTAAGGAAATATGAGCATCGTTTGTCGGAAGTTGTAGGCTGTCGTTTAATTTGCGGCATACAGCAGTTCAGCAGTTCAGGTTTACAAATGCAACTACTTGATGCATTACGCTACGCTACACTTAATTACTTTTGGCTGAAATTTGCGCAAAATAATCGCTACTTCGTGCGAGAGGTTTCGTGTACTTATGAAAATTAAAATTCGCCTACAACATTGCGTATTTGGGTACTCAAATGGTTTATACTTTCGACAGTTTTATAAAATATGCAAAGGTTATTTAATATACGCATGTACTGCGTTCAATCATTATGAGTATTCTGAGCTTTATTTGCTTTAATAAAGAGCACTCATATTAATTTTTCTTTAATATCTATGTATAGTGTACAGACATCGGCCTGTTACAATTTTATTATCTTATATATATGTAAATAGGCAATCATGATTCCTTTACATTCCTTTTACGGCTAAACTATACTTCTAAGGTATAAACTGATATACATCCTCAGAAATGTATTTTGATGCTGATGTGTATTATGTTGTGTTGTTTTGTATTGTGTTGTATTGGATTGGTTATTTTGTGTTATGTTATGTTATGTTGTTTTATGTTATGTTGTTATGTTATGTAAAGTTATGTTATGTTGTGTTATGTTATGATGTTGTGCTACTTTACTACTTGCTATGTTATATTCTGTTATGTTATGTAATGTTATGTTATGTTATGATGTTATGTTATGTTATGTTGTATTATGGTATGTATGTTATGCTGTTATGATGTTATGTTATGTTGGGTTGTGTTATGTTTTGTTGTGTTGTGTTATATTATGTTAATTTATGTTATGTTATGTTATATTCCGTTATGTGGTTCAACGCATTTCATCTCAATTCATTTCAATACTCAACTGAACTCAACTCGGCTCAGCTCAGCCCACCTGAACTCCCTTTAATTTAAGATGTGGGCGAACACTAGTATGTAAAGATTTGCATTGCCATTCAAGCGACGTATATCTTAAAGTTCAGTTTAACAATACGAAGTAGTATGTAAAGCAAATGAGGGGTAAAAAATTCCCCAAAATTGAGGTATAGATAATGTGACCAACTATTTCATAGCTAAAAGAAGTATACGTTAGGTTGGATTAAGTTAACGCCGCGAGCCGACTGCAAAATGTCGATCCCTGAGAGCTCAGTGTTCTTTCAGAAGTGCGAGGATCAGTTGAAATTCCTAGTCTCACCGCATCAATACCAATCGCACAATGGCCTGCCAGAACCCCCACCACTAACCCTTGAGAGGTAACGTGTTTTAAAGTGGCCTGTGAAAACATTTGCT